CACCACCCCAAGCCTCTGTACCTTCACAAGTCTCCCACGGGTGGATGATGGTCTCCCCAGCTGGAGACTTGAATCCCGGATTGCATTGACAGGAAATGGCAGCGCCACATATGGAGTTTGAAGGACACAACAGCTTACAGGCAGAGGCTGTGGGATGGAGACCATGGTCAGAAGATGAGGGCTGAGCCAGAGGCTGGGGAGGGGTGTTGGGAGGGGCAACCCTGAGCTTCCTTCTGCAACAGGCCTTTCTCTGCCTGGGCTGAGAGGTGAGGTGGGGGATGGGACTCTGGCTAGGAACTGAGTTACTCCCAGCAGACTCACCCCTGGTGCTCTGGGGTCCATCTTCCAACAGAATCAGCAAGACACACAGCGCTGGAACAGAGAGATGGAGGGTCAGGGGGGACACAGAACAGGGAAGGGAGGCCTGAGGGTGACACATCTGAGGGAAGGGGCAGCTCACCCCTCCCAGGCTCGGGCTCTGTCCATTACTCAAGGAGAGAGTGGGCAGGTGGCACCTCCCTGGCCTCCAATGCCCATGGCCAGAGGGTCTGCACCCATCGCCTGAAGGTGGCTTTCAGGAACTGAAGGATGGGGAGGGGCCTGAGCCTGGCAGGGGTCTTGGCTTCTGCTGACCTGTGGGCAGCAATTCAGGAAACATACTGGAGCCAGATGGCCTTGGTTCTAATCCCAGACCTTGGTCAGGTGCCTCAGTTCCTCAGTTTCCCCTTCTGTAGAATGGGGATGAAGAGGGGGCCCATTTCCTAGAGTGTGAGGGTTAAGCAGACAAGTACTGCCTGGTGTGTCAGAGTGCTTACTGTCGTCATTTCTTTATGTAAAAATGAAGGGGTTGGGCCAGGTGTCCTCTCAGATCCAAATCTAAGGTGCTCCGGCCCACACCCTTCCTCAGGGACACAGGTGCAAGCACACTGCACCCACATCTGTCAACCACATGACCAGCTTGGGACCCATTGGTGACATTTCACACCCTGGCTACCTGCACACAGGAAGATGCTGGGGGCTCATGTTAGGGGTGTGCTGGATGGGCCCCCCAATCTTGCTCTGGCTGCTGCTCAGGTGCACCCCATCCCAGGGCATGTCCTGGAGCTTCTTATGCCAGCAGGGGGTCTAGAGATGAGGACCTGTTCATCAGAGAGACAGATAAGGAGACGGATGGAGAGAAAAATAAAGAGGCAAAGAGAGAGACAGAAAGAAAGACATAGAAGGCACTAGACTAGAAACTTAGAGAGAAGAAAGAGGTGGAGAGAAAATGAAGAGATGAGAGAGAAACAGAAGACACAGAAATGGAGAGAGAGAGGCAGAGTTAAGAAGACAATGATCTAGAGAGATGGACAAAGAAATAGGGAACTCCTAAGAAGGGAGAGACACAGATGCCAGAAATTAGAGGGAGAGATGCGGAGAGAGACTGAGAGCCAGAGAGAGAAACAGAAGGGGAAGGGTGGGAGGGAGTGAGGAAGGGCGGGCGCCTGGGAAGCATGTGGGGTGTGGGGAGGGCTTGAGGATCCATCCAATCCCTGCAGATCTAGAGATGCTGGGGAGGCAGCCCAGACCCAGATAATCCAGGGAGACCAGATGGGGGCAGTGGGTGGAGGGATGGGGGCCAGGGAGGCAGAGCAGGAGAGAGTCACTTCCTGGGCCAAATGAAGGGATAACTCATGGCTCCCAGTCCCCCATGGAGGGGCTCCCAGTCCCCCATGGAGAGGCTCCCAGTCCCCCATGGAGGGGCTCCCAGTCCCCCATGGAGAGGCTCCCAGTCCCCCATGGAGGGGCTCCCAGTCCCCCATGGAGAGGCTCCCAGTCCCCCATGGAGGGGCTCCCAGTCCCCCATGGAGAGGCTCCCAGTCCCCCATGGAGGGGCTCCCAGTCCCCCATGGAGAGGCTCCCAGTCCCCCATGGAGGGGCTCCCAGTCCCCCATGGAGAGGCTCCCAGTCCCCCATGGAGGGGCTCCCAGTCCCCCATGGAGAGGCTCCCAGTCCCCCATGGAGGGGCTCCCAGTCCCCCATGGAGAGGCTCCCAGTCCCCCATGGAGGGGCTCCCAGTCCCCCATGGAGAGGCTCCCAGTCCCCCATGGAGGGGCTCCCAGTCCCCCATGGAGAGGCTCCCAGTCCCCCATGGAGGGGCTCCCAGTCCCCCATGGAGAGGCTCCCAGTCCCCCATGGAGGGGCTCCCAGTCCCCCATGGAGAGGCTCCCAGTCCCCCATGGAGGGGCTCCCAGTCCCCCATGGAGAGGCTCCCAGTCCCCCATGGAGGGGCTTCCAGGGGAATTTTGGGGTTGGTCATTGTGAGCACAACTTGAGGAGCTGTGGAGGGTGCAGACTGGAGGGCCCCCTGAGCACTCAGTCCCAGTGTCCAAACTTGATACCCCTCAGGCCAGCAGAGGGCAAAGACCCCCACACCCTCCCCGAGGCCCTCTTAAATTCAGTAAACTGAGGCTGGAACTCCTGTCTTCCTCCTCTCTGGCCACAGGGTTTGGTTAGTTCTCCCTTTGGTGGAAACCCACTTCCTCTTTGTAGGACAGACCAAAAATGACCTTCCCTGGCAGGGTGGGTCCTGGGCCAATTCGTCCCCAGCTCCCAAAGCCCCAGTAGCACCGTCCATGCTCACAACTGCCCTATGAGACAGAGGCTCTGTTTATGTCCACTCTGCAGATGGACAAACTGAGGCTCAGCCCAGAAAAGGCTTATGGAGAAAATGGTGAAGAGGGGGCTGGGGAAGATGGAAGTGAGGGGTCAAGTTCCCCAGAGTCTGCAGGGAGGGGGTTCTCTGTGCTGAGCTGGGCTTTCCTGCCCCACCACAGAGGCTGCTGGGCCAGACCTCCACCTGGGGCCCAGGAAGCCACCCAAACAGGAGCCTGGAGAGGGGTGGCTGGTCCTGCTCCCAGTCCCATCTGGTTTGCATTCCCCTAGCTAAAGGGGTGCTACCAGGGGCTCCCTTACCCCTCCCAGAGGGTCCCCAAATTCTCACCATGTAGGATGTGAAAGGCACTGAGGCAGGGACCTCCCATGGTCTGGGCAGGGCGGTTCTGTATTCACAGGCTGTGCAGCTGTGCATAGTTCTGTGGCCTCTTGGCCCTTATACAGTGTGTGAGTGGCCCAGAACTGGTGGGGCAGCTGGAAGCCAACAGGAAGTGAGTAAAAACACAGATGGGGGAGGGGGGGCAAAAGCACTGGCCCCCCCCCCCCTCCCTCCCACACACACACACACCACAGTGGAGTGATCTGCAGGGAATGGACAGTGGTTTCCTGAGGAGCGTGAACCTGTAGTTTCCAGGTAAAGCTGCCCAGATGATCATTCTTATGTCTGGCTTTCCCTTTGCTCTTTCTATGATTAATATTAACTAGTTAATTAGGACAATAACACAATGTGGTTACTTTATGTCTCTGAATTTGTAAGACCTTCCATGCAGGCCTCCCTGAGCTTGTCAAGTTTAGCATGTAGCTCCTTTTTGGTCCACACTTCACAATGACCCAAGGGTGCCTGGGATTGCCTGAGTCAGGCACATCCCTCCTCACTCAGTGTAAACCTCCAATGGTGCAGAGAACTCTGCAAGCTCTGCCCTGTCACCTCCCTGCCCTCATCCCCCTCCTCAGCCCCCTTAGTCACTTGGTTACTGTATTCCTTGTGGAAAACAGCAGGGACGCTTGACCTCAGTGTCTGACCTTTGCAAGGGCAGCTATCTCTGCCTGGAGCACCTGGCCCTGATAACCTTCTGGCTCCCTCCCTCCTGTCGTTCATGTCTCTGCTCAAACATTCCCCAACCTATCTCCCAAGTCTGATATGTAATCTTCTCCCATCCGCAGCAACCCTGATGGCTCCCCACTTTCCCCATTCTCTGTAGCACCTCATCAGACCCCATCATGGAACTTACCTGCTTCCCTGTTTACACTGTTCATTTCATGTGCTTGGTTTTGGCTGAGGATCCCAGCAGCTGAGTTTGGATGAATGTCCCTTGCAGGGTTTCATCCAAATGGTTGATAAAAATGCCAAGGAGAGAGCCTGTGAAATCTCACAGGAGAGGCTGCTTCCATAGGGCCCTCTCTGGGTTCTGTTATCCTGCCAGCTGTGAATCCACCAATTTGTACTTGTCTTGGCCTACAGTTAGCCATCTGATCCACCATTTATGTAGTGCTTTACTGGAATCTAGCTACAGCATGATCTAGTGGCCTAGGAAAACTTTCAAGAAGAATGAGAGGTAGGTTTGGTAGCTCTTACCCAATCCATGATGTTGCTAGGAGATCTCCGTTTCCTCTGCATATAAATATACTGCAGTCTCACCATGGTTTGGCCACAGCATATAGTATTCACTGCCTATTTTTTTCTTCCTTAGAGAAATATTATATTTGCATTCTGCTTTCTACCATTATTTTCATTCTCTCTTTCCTTGAAGATGCCTTTCTTTGACAATATCTGCATTGCCTTTTTATATTATACTGGAGGCCCAGTGCACAAAATTTGTGCATGGATGTGGTCCCTAGGCCTGACCAGCAATCAGAGCTCGAGCATCTGGTGTGGAAGGGCAGGGCCCAGCTGACCTCTGGGCCCTGGGAAGCACCTGGGCTCCTGGGCCCCCATGCTCCCCCCTCCACCTGAGCCATTGGGCCCCCGCCCGGCTCCCTCAGTGCCTGGGAGCTGGGCAGCAGCCTCACCTCCCATCACTGTCACAGGTCGCCCTCTGTGGGTTAATCAGTGGGGCTATCATGTCTGGCTTGCACCTGCCTTGGCCTGGCACCGCCCACTCACTTGCTCCACCATCCCACTGCGGTCTTGCTCTCGTCGGGGCCCATTAGGGCCCCGGCAGTGCCTCCACTGCCACCCGCTGCCAGCGCTGCATCGCTGACGCCTGCTATGTTCCATGCCGCCCCCTGGTGGTCAGCACACAACATAGCGAACAGTCAAACTTTCGGTCGAACTCCCGGTAGAGGGGCTATTTGCATATTAGGCTATAGGATTATATTATATTATTTTCATTATCACAGCTGCAACAGGAACAAATTTCATGGTGGGTAATAGTCACCCAGCACTTACTAAATGCCTGGCCCTCTTCTAAGCACTTCTACTCACTTATCTTCCCAGGAGCCCTAGAAGGCAGGTGCTGTGATTTGCATTAGATAGATGGGGAAACTGAGGCACAAAGTGGTGAAATGACTTGCACAGTCACAGGGCACTCCCCCTCCCCACCTCCCATCTCCCATCAGAGGTCCTGGTCAAAACCCATCTCTTCCACTTTTGGACCATGTGGCCTAAGCTGGTTAAGTGACTTCTCTGGGCCTCAGTTTCTCCGTCTGTGAAGTGGTCAGAACCTCGGCGAGCACAGGTGAGGGTCGTAGGGGAGTGAACAAGTTGCAGGGGCTCAGAGTGAATGTTATGTGCTGTCAACCCCAGCAGTTAGGATGGCCATCTTCTCTGCAATGCCCTCTGCCGTGCGGAAGACAAGGGGACCTCAATGTCCTGCCCCCCCTTCTGGTGCCACCAGCCTATGCCCAGCACCCTTTCAATCCCTAGGAGAGACGGGGGTCAAATGGGGTCTTGGATAGAGGGGGGTGTAACAGGAAGCCCCCTGCCTGGGACACAATGACAGAGGAAGGGGCTGGCCAGCCCCACACGGATGAGCCCAGCTGCTGGCTCCAGGAGCAGGAAGCCCCAGAGAGTGAGGAAAGAGGGTGGGAGGCTGCTGCCAGTCCTGACCCCAGACCCAGGGTCAGGCAGGACAATGGACCCTTTGTCTCCTCCTGCGGGCTGGACACCTGGGTTCCCCCCAGGCAAGGCTTTCAGAGTCCCCTTAACCAGATACTCCTGGTCAGACCCTGCCCAGCCCCAGCTGGCATCCTCCTGAGCCCTGACCCCCACCCAGCCCAGCCCAGCCCAGGGAGTTGGGGGGCAGCACTGAGCTGGGCCATATTTATAATTCCCTGGCACCGCTGAAGGAACTCCTAAATATAGGGTGTCCCCCAAAATGTATACACACACTTTAAATAATTATAAAGGCAGTGTTCATTAAAATACATTTCATTTTCAAAATTGAGCTGTTAGATGTTCAACTGTGTATACATTATTTTGGGACACCCTATATAGAAGCCCAGATATTTGGGGCCTTGGCTTGGGGTAAAGTGTGGGTGTGGGCACCACATGTGTGCCTCCTGGTCTGGGTCCGCAAGACTTGCCTAGGCTTCTAAGTTTCTGGGATTGGGACTTAGGGAGTCTTGGGGTGGAGGGTGTGGAGTATGTCTACTTGAATGTGGACATAGATGGAGATTTGGGGGTGGAGTCCAAAGTGATGAGAAACAAGAGGCTGTGATGCCTTAGGGGGGAACACATTTCTATCTACTTCACCCCAAACCCCTTGACCCCAATCAATCTTTATTGATTTCAGAGAGGAAGGGAGAGGGAGAGAGAGATAAAAACTACAAAATGGGGTTGAGCTGTCATCCCTGAGTGTTCTCTGCTTCTAGGAAATGAAGGCCTCAGGAAGCTGCAGGGACACCCCCAAAATCCAAACAAACCCCAGCTCCTAGCAACCGACTTCCCCTTCTCCATCAATGCTGAGCTCAATGGGGGCTGGGATGGGGGTTGGGACATGGGCTGGGAGTGGGGTTGGGTTATAAGCAGCTGCAAGACATCTGGGAAGCAGGTGTCCCCCCTTAGGTGGAGCATGGAGGTCTCCTAAAGGGACAGCTGGATCTCAGAGTGTCCCCAGCTTCACCACCTCCCAGCCATCTCCAATATTTAGGGAAGTAAGAGCCAACTGAAGGGGAAGTTATTTAAAAGGGGCAACACCAATGATCTTTTAATATCTTTTTAAAAAATATGTTTTTATTGATTTCAGAGAGAAAGGGAAAGGGAGAGAGAGAAACTACAATGATGAGAGAGAATCATCAATTGGCTGCCTCTTACATGAGCCCTACTGAGGATCAAGCTCGCAACCTGGGCATGTGCCAGGACCAGGAATCGAACCATGGCTTCCTGGTTCATAAGTTGATGCTCAGTCACTGAGCTACATCGTCTGGGCATACTGATGATCTTTAAAGCAGCCTAGGAACATGATGGCCATTAAGACTTTAATGGAACCTTAATGCTTCCTCAGCCACTGGATAGATTGGATTAGAATATTACACAACTGTGAGAACCACAGGGAAATGCAATGAGATAGCTGAGTCTTAGCAACATACTCCTTTCTCGATTTTAAACACCGAGTGATGTACAAACATGTTAATTTGCTTGATGGATTTTATAGTAGAATCTTGTTTTTTAGCTTTACTGAGTTACAATTGATAAGTAAAATTAAAATATATTGAAAAGGTATGACCTAATGATTTGGTTGTAGTAGAATCTTGAGCAAAAAGAAGTCCCCAGAGCCCCATACAAAAGCCACCTTTGTCATAAAGCTCAGACACAGAGAAAATGAAACAAAGTTTTGGCATACAGATGTACAGGAAAACAAACAAAAAATGAGAGAATAAGAAACAGAATTTGAGGTGGTGGAGGGAGAGAGCAGGGTCATGTCCCAGTTCTTGGTGGGGGGTAAATGGAGGGGGTCCTTATAGGATTAAAAATAAATAAATAAACTAAAGCTGGTCATGGGAAATTGATTCTGTGAACCTGAGACCCTGTAAAACTCTTTCTGGAACTTTTAAAATGTTTTAAGTCTCTAATGAGAAGTGGTTAGAAAGTGGCATTGAAGAAGCACAGGAAGGAAAGATGGAAAGAGGGGCCCAGGGTGTGGGTGGCCAGAGGAGGGAGGCCCAGCTGGGGAAGGGGATCAGCTGGGGGCGAGGGGAGGGGGCAGTGGAGGAACTGACAGTGGCCAACAGGAAGCTGTGCGGTGCGGAGCTGGGAACACTCAGTGCTGTTTTGGTGTCTTTCTTGAAGCTCGCAGCCTCTTCCCCATTCTGCAAGGGCTCCTGGGAGTGGCGGGCTGGGGGCTGACAGTGCCCAGTGATGATGGGCTCCTGCATCCCCAGGACCCTGCAAGGGGTTCCCAGAATGTGGGCCAGGGTGTAGAAGGAAGTCCACCTCCCAGGGACCCTACAAGGGGGTCCCAGAATGTGGGCCAGGGTGGGGAAGGAA